TTAAAATGTAAATCTGCCTTTTCCCGAATGACCCTAAGATTAGCTACGAAAAAGTTTCATTTTAAAACCGAAGAAGCTAACGTGAAATCCGTCTCTGAATTATTTTTACGTTGGGCATATAGTTAAACTTATAAATTTCGAATATTTGTTTACCAACCGGGTAGAAATAAATGCTTTGCCATCTATCTTTTTTATTTGCAAATAAATTAAGCTTATAAAAAAGAATATTTCAACGATGATTTTAACCGAAACACTACAGTAATTATATGTCCTTATCTGGGCGGTGGAAATTGCTTAGGTAATGTATATATATGTAAAATTAAATTTTTTTATGTACAAATAGACGTGGTTATTGCCTTTATTAAGTGTTACTATAATTGAGGTGCCACGCCGTAATCGTAATTATGACTTAAAGTGTTATTTTTCACATGGGGTGGACTAACTAAACTTTCTCTCAAATTCGTTTCATTTTCGTATAATGGAATCCGCGAAGACCGTCAACCCTCGGTGTACGTTATAACAGTTAAAATAACATTTTCAACTTGTGAATAGGTATCGTTTTGATACCTACAACAATGAAACTCGCTCGACCGTTATAATTGCAATTTGATAATGTAAGCTAACTTATTGAAAACGATGGCATAATATACTCGTGATACAAGTAAAAATAATTGTCCATTGATAGACTGCTGAAGTACACTGTATATACTATATACTATAAAGTGTCGGTGTATACCAGTGTATCGACCTTATTTCGGAATAAAATCCAAAATTTTGTATACATTTTATAGGATTTTTTCTTCGAACCTGAATCTGGCTACAGAATTTCTCTAGCACTCCAATTTATTTTTTAATTACCTTTAAAGTTTTAGACAATTTACAGACTTACTTACTTATGGTTCTTAAAATCGTATTTTACAGTGTTATTATTTATTACTATTCGTAGAATACGAATATTTCCTATTACCAATTTTTCACTGACCTTCAGTTTTGTTAGATATTTTCCCCCTATATTTTTTCCCGTTTGACATTTTCCCTTTTATCTGTCATATATAAATGAACTGTTGTGCAGAAATATATTTTTTTTACAGTATATACTAATGTAGAATATGTTAAATTTGGCAATGATCTGCCAACAAAGTAACTAATTAATTACAAATATTGTTTGATTTTATTATGGATTTTTGTATAATGTTTTATTTCCATAATAATAGTAAATAAAGAAAACTATTATTGACTCGCCGTATAGATTTTGTACGCTTCGTCTATCAAAACTCAGTCGATATCCTTATACGGTTTACTCGAAAACTAGGTACCTTTAGTTCCTATACTATTAACTATGATGTTATGCAGTCGGCCAATGAGACATAAAACAGTCTCATTGGAAAGTTAAACAGCTTTCTTTGTTTCGTATCGGTTAGGTTAGATTAGATTAGGTAAAGGTTAGGTAATATTTGATCTATTCATGTATAAAGAATTTTTTTAATAAAACACTTTTTAACAAACATAAGAACTTTAAAAAAAATGCATTCTCGAAAATCAATACTGTAAATATATGTATAGAGTGATCAACTTTAAGTAATGGCCTCATTATCTTAAAAATAATTGCAATTTAGTAGTTTTTCTTTTTGAAATAATTTTTGAAGGGTTCCGGGCAAATTGATTGAAGTGTCAAAAGCATACGAGTATATGCGGAAAATGAAAAAGAAACTCTTCAGTGTTACTATGGTTTTCAATGCTTTTGAACTACAAATAAAATTGGACAAACTTGTATAAGAGCACGCTGCATTAGCAGTAGTTTCCAGATTAACTGCCATAAAAAAGACGAGTTTATCATTTTTTTGATTTTGCCCCGAAACGCTTATTATATTTGGTTCATGTTTTTTTGCAATGTTTTAAGATGCCCTAATATAAAATATTTATTGTTTTTGGTATTCTAGAGCTCTATTAACTTTAGAAGTTTAAATTGTAACGTATATATGTTATCATTACTTTTTAATCATAGTGTTTTACTGAAAATGTTGACTGGTCAGCTATGAATAATTACTTATAGAGTTAATACACATAAGCGTTAAAAAGATGAGATGAGCAGTGTAGTGAAATATAATTTTTCTTTTCATGTTTTTCGTATTACATACCTACGGATTATTCCTGATACCATTTCGAGAGTTTCTACTATAATATAAAACAAATCGGTCATTAACATAATAGCGATTTTAATGTTTGTGAAAATCGAATAATGGTTGATCGTTTGAACAGTATAATCATTATTTTTAACAACTTAGTTACTATTTTTGTTTGTCTTTTATTTTTTACACAAACAGCATTTTCGCAATAACTAAACTAACAAACCTAAATGATTGAGGTTAAGCTGTGTCGATTGATGCTTGATCCCGGATGGGTGACCACCCGAGATTTTTAGCGGCGACCCATGCCATGCCATGCCCACAATAAACAGCAAAACCGATCAACAGCTAATGGCTATAGTAGTCGAAGCTTAAAAAACAAAACTTGCTTAAATAGATAAAACATTTCGTTTTGTATCTTACGCGACCCGCGTGATAATAAAACGGGCGGTGACTGATACATTTTAGGCTCAAGATACAATCTTCGAGACTAAAAACCCTTTCAGCTTTTAAATGTTAGCAGTTATTTAGGTTACACAACCGATATTTGACGTACAAACACGGTTTCGACGATCCAGATCGATTAATCTCCGTTGCGATGTAATCGAAATATAATATTATACAACTTATAAGTGAACGACTATTTGATTAACGGTGTAAGTATAATGAGAATGGCCGGGGTAGATGTCAAAGCGGTGTTTGCCGAGGGTGGAATACGGTTTTCGCTTGTGTACACACGAGATGTAGAAAAAATATTATTTGACCAGGAAAATATTACAATGAACAAGTTGAGTCGATATATGAGAGAGAGAAAGGGAGAAAAACAAATAAAAAATAAAACATATCAAACCACACAATATGCGATAATTTACTCACGGTGGTTCGTTCCAAACATCGGAGCAAATGATGATGTTGCATCTCGAATATGTCTTCTTCTCTGTAATTTTCATCAAGCTCTTGTCCAGATTCTTGAGCCGCCATCCTGGCTTCGGCTGCCTTCTTTTTGGTGACGAACGCGGCCCCTGACGATGCTTTTGCTATCCTAATTCTCGCTAGCCTCGCTTTCTGCAACACGCCCAACAACCCACATAGTGAATATCGTCAATACCCGCACAGTCATTACGCCCTTTAAGTATATACAGGGTAATTCATTAAGAACAAGCTACTAGTTTTCTTTTAAAATAGTTGCAACTTTGTATTTTGTTCTTTTCGAAAACATTTTTGTTACTTTACAGTTTACAATATTGCACAATTACTAAATATTTATCTTATTTAGTATTATCCAAAGCTCCACCGACTTTTGAACCTTGAAACGTACCTATTGTGTAAATATAAAAGAATAATTTGCTGGAAATTATGACTGGTCGATAACTGGTCTTGGATAATTACTTCTAAGTTATCAAATTTAACATTTAGGACGAAAGGAAGGACTGTAGAATTATTTTTATCTGCTCCACCTACCGTCCTAAATTTTAAGCTAAGTAACTTCAAAATTGCAAACATTTTAAGAGAAAATAAGTAGCTTTTCCTTAATGAATCACCCTATATATACGTTATAAACTCACCAAAATCCGGCAGTATCCTATACACTTCGTGAAAAGATATTTATTATTTTATTTTATAGCCAAGCTAAAAAGAAAAAAAACCCTGTACCTCTTTGTGCATATACGCACACGAGTATACGCCATTAATATTCGTCGAGTGGATCCGTGTGACGGATATAAAAAAGTGTGAAATAAAATATGCGTTAATATTAATCATATTGTATAAAGTCACGAGGGCAATATAAAGAATAAAATGATATAAAATACGGGGGTGCTAAAAAATATTTCTAGTAATAATTGATTTACTTATCGAACATGGGCTAAATTTACTATTATTGCATTACCTGCTCCTACTGTACCGTTATTATAATATCTAATCTAATAAATAATAATAAAACAGCAAAGAAAATATCTCGAATCTTGTCTGTAAAGATTTTATTTCGGTATGTTATGATGTATATTAATATATGTATATACATACACTATGTATATTATTTACTTATTAATTATTTAGGTTAATTGTATATAGTATAGAATACAATTATTGGGTTTGTTCTACCACTGTATGTTTCTTTGACAACATATCTACTCTTTGCCTTAATATACTTATCACACTATTATAAACTTGGAACTTGTCAGCCGTAAACCTCAATTACCGTGTTTATGTCGCTCAACTTTAATCATACTAAAGTATTAACTTTTTTTTTTTGAAACAGACACTGTTTCAAGATCACTGTTGATCACTCGTTATTCATAGAAAAACAAATATATTAAGAAAATTAATATAACACCAAACGACTTTAATAAATACAAACTAATTTTTGCCTTTTTACGTTATAATAAAAAACTCTTTATACGTTTTGAATTATAATTTTTCATATATTCTAAACTTTTTTGAACAAACGGAGGGCATAATATTTTTAAACACACGTCTTAGCTTCTCTAATTATTCTTTATAAATCCATTAATCAAAATAGCAGTAGAGACCTGAAAAATGTATTGTGTTATTCATTGAAGTTAATGTATTAGTATGTTATAAAGTTAATACTCGCGACTTTACACAAAAACAATTACTATTACACATATTTTAACAACGCACATTTCTTTAATGTATATCACACAGAGAAAAATACTATTTAATTTTCCAGTCACACAAATAACCATGTTCGGGTTTTAAGGGTCAAACAATATTCAGGATGAAAATTAATTGTTCACGGTGCGGGTTTTTTTTTTTTTTTTTTACGAAGTGGATACATTTAAGGATAACCGCCGCTTGTTATTTAATTAATAACACTTCGCGTTTATTAAATGATTTGTACAAAAGCCTTACCCTTTGCGCTTTTCTCTTGTCCGCTCTTTGGCTTTGATGATAAATACGACTGAAGTTGGAAACGATTACAGGAACTGGAAGAGCTATCACCAGCACTCCGCTCAACGAACATACTCCACCGACGATTTTTCCAGCTATAGTCTCTGGGACCATGTCACCGTACCTGCCCAACAACAACACAAACGTTAAGCTGGTGCATTTTTCATAATCATTTTCATATTTTATTCTATACACTAATACACACACATATATATATATATATATAACGAAAAAATCACCCTGTATATATATATAAATTTAACACAAAAAAAATATATATTTGATAAATTAGTTTTATATTTTGCTGTTTAAATTACATAAATCCTGTTTTATTTAATTTTAAGTGTGAATCAAGCACCTTTAAATTACATTATTAATATTAGTTTCAAGATCTTCAATAGTGTGTGTATTATGTTTATAGCTTTTGAGTTCAGTAAGTATAATTATATAATTATAAGGGATTCTAAGTAATTCTAGTAATTCTAGTAATTCTAGTAATTCTCGTAATTTTAAGTGGTTCCTATAGATCCTTATTTTCCTCATTTCATTATCACATAAAAATATATTTTTCATTAAAATCGATATAATTTCAAACTTAAACAAATTTGTAAAAATTCAAAAAAAATTCTGCAAGCTAACATTTGTGCCTTTAAAACAATTATATATATTTGAAACTTTTTCTTCGTTTTTTAAATTAGTTACAATGAATTAAAGTTAGTCAGTGCACAGTTTGAGAACCACTGCTTTAAACCATTGTTTCTATTAATAAAAATTAACAAGATAAAATGTCTAGTAAAGTATTTTAAAGTTAAAAGTGTTAGCTTTTGGAATCTTTTTTAAAATTTAAAAAAATATTTATACGTTCTAAAGTTATGACGATTTTAATGAAAAATATATTTTTTACGCGTTAATCAAATTGGGAAAATATGGCTCTATAGGAACCACTTCTAGTTGTCCTAGATGTAGCTGGACATTATAAACATTTCTTCTTTTCGACAAATAAAAAACATTCAGGGGGGTAGCGAAATATGTTTTTTTCTCGAACGGTCTAATATCATACATGTACATATCATTATAAATAACTTTTCAGTGAAAAACGCAAAGTTTTGAAAGAATCGACAATATTTCCAACAAAATATACTATATGGGTTGCGAGCCTTTTATAGCGCAAATGCGTCGTCTCTTTCGAGTGGTTTAATCGTCAGTTATAGCGCGTTTAAACTCCGCAGAGTATCATTCTACACTAACCCTCAAGCTAAAAGGAAAAAAAAAAACCATACAGTATCGATTTCAAAAGCCGCTACCGTAGCCTCGGTCCCCTCTAGGGAAAATTCGACGGATACGATTCATATCTTTTTTTCCATCATTTCAAAACGCACAGTAACAATAATAATTATATGCTAGCAACACTGCCCTCAGATTTCATTTTTGAGCTATCCGAAAATGCGTAAAAAATTTATTTTTCTACGTTGCTTTTGATAGGCAGAAAAAAAAAAGAAATCTAACGAATATGTAACAAAAATGTGATCTCACGAATAAGGCCATAAATAAGGCTGCTTGTTATAATATTAACTTACAGTATTAATATATATTATTAGACCAACGTTTTTAAAGTAAATTATGTTATCGTACCGACTGGTATATTTAACGGAGGATACTCATTTTCTCGGAAAATAATTAAAATTAAGTTTTTTGTTTGAAATCGTTTTGGCTCCGATGCGTAGCTGAAAAGATATTGACAATGGTGAGTTTTTATATTTTATTAATTTTTTGTGTTGGCAAAGTCAAACTGAATGGAACTGATTGATAAAAATGAAAAATTCAAACGCATTTTTTAAAATGTGTTGACTACATATTTATGGAATTAAAAACACATGTTCCCATTTGAAAAAAACGAGGTCCATACTTGTTTGGCGTTTAACGGATGAAGATAACAATTTTCAACTTATTAAAAAATATAGTAAAATATGTACCTACAAGTATAGGAAAAAAAAATTTTCAAAATATTCATAATATCCGAGAAAATGAGTGTCTTACATTAGATGGAACATTCTGTACATTATATGTTTATACTTACAGGTGTCTTCAAATAAAGGGCATCTAGGTATAAAATATATGTTATTCTTTTTATTTTTTAATCCCAAAGCTATGAAAATAAAGTTCGTATTTCATTTAATAATGATAGTTTTGAATTAGGAGAAACAAATCTTGTTGAATTAATATGTAGCTAATTTTTTTTATTTTGAGTCGCATATGTATGCACAGCTACAGGGTAGAGCCGACATATGATCAAAATACTTTAAAAAAACTGTAATTATGTTTTGTTTTATTCTTAAATTGACATACATATGTTTGATGTCGGGAGATTCATCCAAAATTTAGCAACATTTTTATGTCAGGATGTGATTCGAGATTAGATGTAATATAGTAAATAAGAATAGACTTATTCATGATCCAATGAATTATTCGGAAACTCTTTAGGCTGCCTTTAAAAAAGTCCTATAAATTGTATTTACATAAGTTAGAATTCCAAATAGTAAGAAAGTATTAAAAAAAATGATGATTTATGACTCAAACATTAAAAATAGGTATAAAAATGTATATATAAAATTCATAACTCGTAATTTTAAAAACTTATTTTGTTTTCATGGTAAATTTTGGTTGAAGTTTAAAATACACAGATGTCAACTAACTCGTGAAAATTACGAATAATGATTTGATGTTTTAATATTAACGTGGTAATGGTTTTAGGTCGTAGGTCTTTCCATAAATTGCGTGACTATTCGAAGAATGTAATATGTTTTTCTTACATCGAATTCATGGCTATGATTTTCTTATTTACCTCCCTCTCCCTCCTTCCCAGTCCTTCCCTTCCCTTAACAAAGTCTAAAAACATTATCGTGCTTCGGTCTTTCAGCGCTTTGACGTTAAAATACTTTTTTAATCAGTAAACTGAAAAATAAGCAAAAAATCAAGTAAAAAAACTTATTCCCTACACTAGTTGAATAACATAATTCACTTTGTAGGGCTTTATCAGACTAAGTATTTTTAGCCGTACCGCGTTACCGTTATTCGCTTAGGTGTATTATTTTTATGCATACATTATATTTAGCATATTATGCACATTAACGGTATACCGCACCATATACTTTCTGATGATGTATTTTAGTTTCACCTAGTACCTAACTCTGAGTACGCCATTACGTAGACGGGTAATGGTAATGTATCGGGACATGGGAAAATGTGCCACGCGCCAGACCATGTTGTTCGTCAGTTTTTCGAAATCGTATTAAGCCTCTCGCCGCTCCCGAGGTAGGCAGCGGCTAACACGTGCGCTTTTACTTGAGTGATTTTATTAGCTATTCGGTTTCCAAAGAAAACCCATCGCACAGTGTACCGCTGGGAAAAGCCGGTGGAGAAAGGGAATAAGACGGCAGCATAACGGCATTACGATATTAAAACTCCCGCAACAAGTTAACGGGCCAACAGAGTGCGTTTGACGCGTGTCAATTATAATAATTCGCGTTAAACTACTTTTGCGGGAGTGCTACCTTTGCATGCGGCTTTGTCGGAAACCTATACAAAAAGCATTAAACAAATGAGGAAAGCTCCTTACGCCTCCGGTAAAAAAATCCGATATTTTAAAAAAACTGAATTTTTTGAAAGTAGGTACCTATATTTACCGAATTTCGACAAATTACACATCTGGCAATTATGTCCAATGGTTTAAGAATACTGCAAAACGGATTTGTTTATTTTTCAATATGAACAAGGTTCAAGACAAACGGTTTTCCAACATAGGAATAAGTCAAGCCGAGTTTTTTTGCTTGTGCTTGAATATAGTTTCAACGGTTAGTATACGCGGTTTAGGTTATATTATTTTATTTGCTATCGCCTGTAAGGGCACAGGGAAACGGTATACAGGGTGATTTTTTTATCATGAGCCACTCAATATCTCACTGGGTTTTATTAATAATTTAAGTTTTTTTGTTCATAGTGTTTTTATATAATGTGATCTCAATTTTCCACAATTAATTATGTTTCTACCCCCTCCCAACTTAGTTTTTTTGATAGCACCTTTTGAAATTTAAATGGTAAGTGGTAACGCATATATTTCATTATCTTTTTAAATTTAGAATAATGTACTAAACATTTTGACTGGTCGATAATCAGTTTTGGATAACTGTTTTTAGTGTTATAAGTGTTTGAAAGTTATGATGGGAGGGAAAGTGCGGTTCGGAAATGTGCGTAGATAAAAATAAAACTACACTCTACATTTCCTCCTGCCCTAAATTTGAAACTTTAATAACTTAAAAATTGTTATCCGAAACTGGTTATCGACCATTCAAATTTTTTAGTAGAATATTCTTAATTTAAAAAGTTTAAAAAATATATATGTTACCATTTAAGTTTCAAAAGTTGCTATCAAAAAAACTAGTTTGGGAGGGGGGTAGAAACATAATAATTTGTGGAAAATTGAGATCACATTATATAAAAACACTATCGTTTTATTAAATAAAGCTTGTGTAAAAATAAGGAGTCTATAAAATCGTGTTATATCTGTGATTACACAGATATTCTTTATCGACAATATTTAACCAGGACATGTTAATTTTGTAAGCTATCCTCTAAATGAATCTTCTCTGAACTCTTTAAATTGTATCCATTAAACCAAATTGCCGTGAGTTTCACAGTATGGATCCAACTTCTAAAGTTGAGCGCACTATTGCTTTTTACAAAGTTTATAAAGGCATCGGTAATTTATAACCACACAATTTGGCTTGGTAAGTATAGTATTCTCAAAGCTATTGCACAGGATTAATGGCGATTAAAGGATAGATCAAATGAAAAAGTTTTAACGAGGTCTCTAATTTCGTTAACAATAGGGATGTTGGAACCGTTAAGTATATATAGTGACATAAAATGGGTTTAATGTAACGAGATATCTGCATGCATATTAGTACAAACCACCACCATCCGAGTATGGACTTCGGGTGACGCACAATATAATTATATTATATTTAGATACATTTTATAATTTATACCAAATCTATGGGCATTCGGACACCGAACGTGGAAAGGGCTTTGCGTTTAATGGCTATTGGGTCGAAGCGAAAAAAACCG